GTAGGGGATGTGTAGTTTCAAGATTAAAGCATATATTGTGAACAGTATTTAGATGAAGGCAGGGAAGTTATCACTGCATTTTTGGATTTAGAAAAGGAATATGACAGAGTGGATAGGGGAGCAATATGGCAGATACTACAAGTGTATGGAAGGGTTTGTAAGTTACTAAAAGCTGTAAAGAGTTTTATGAGGATATGAGGCTCAGGGTTTGGGTTGTAGGAGAGAGGGAGACTACTTCCTGGGAAAAGTAGGTCTTAGAGATGTGTAAAAGTCACCATGGTTTTTGTCATATATTTATAGATGGGGTTGTAAAAGAAGTAAATGCTAGGGTGCTGAGGAGAGGGGTGGGATTCAATTATGGGGAATCAAGTGCAAAATGGGAGTTTACACAGTTACTTTTTGCTGATGATACTGTGCTTATGGGAGATTCTAAAGAAAAGTTGCAGAGGTTAGTGGACGAGTTTGGGAGGGTGTGTAAACGTAAAAAAGTTGAAAGTAATCATAGATAAGAGTAAGATTTATGAGGATATCAAACGATTTAGATAAAGAAAAATTGGATATCCATTGGAGAGGGAGTATGGAAGAAGCGAATGTTTTCATTATTTGGGGAGCTGACGTGTCAGTGGATGGGTTTATGAAAGGGTGAGGTTAATCATAGAAATGATGAAGGAAAAAAGGTGAGTGGTGCATTGAGGTATTTATGGAGACAAAAAACATTATCTATGGAGGGAAAGAAGGGAATGTATGAAGTATAGAGGTACCAACACTCTTATATGATATGAAGCTTGGGTTGAAATGCTGTAGCGAGGAGGCGGCTGGAGGTAGTGGAGATGTCCTGTCTAAGGGCAATGTGTGGTGTAAATAATATGCAGAGAAATTCGGAGCGTGGAAAATTTGGAGGTGTGGAGTTAATAAAAGTATTAGTCAGAGGGCTGGAGAGGAGTCTTGAGGTTTGGTTTGGTCATTGAGAGAAAATTGGGCTCAAAGTAAAATTTAAATTGGAAAGGTAAAAATTTGGGTAGGGAAAGTAAGGGGGGTTTGGGGGTCGTTCCCGAAAAGATTGGAGGGAGGGGGTTTTAAAGAAAGGGGTTTTTGGGGGCGAGGGGCTTGGATTTTCCCAGCAAGCGTGCAGGACCCATTTTTAGATAGGATTTAAAAAGGAGATGAAGGTTTTTTGGGGACCTGACGAACTTTTGGAGTGGGAACAGGGTTTTTATTTAGTAAAAGGGAAATTCAGGGAAAACCGGTTATTTTTATAAAAACCGGATTTTGGAGAAATGGAAATGGGAAAAAATTTGCCTCCCATTTTAAAATGAGGGGTTTGGGATTTTGGCATTTTTGGGGGGGTTTTTTTAAACATTTTTTTAACATTTTTCTAAACTGTTGTTTTTGGGCCCCCCGGGGGAAAACAGTGATTATGTTGAGTGGGGAAAAGGGTTTTAAAAGGGCTAAAAGAATTTTTTTTTTGGTGATTTTTTTTTTTTTTTGGGTTTCCCCCCTTTCCCTCGGTGGGAGAAACCCGATTTGGGTTGAATTTATTTTATATATATATTTTATAAATATATTTATAAAATATTTATATTTATAAATAAAATATAAAATATATATATTTTTATAATATATATATATTTTGGTGTGTGTGTGTGTTTTGTGTGTGTGTGTGTGGTGTGTGTGGTTTTGTTTTGTGTGTATGTGTTACGTGGGTTTAGTGGGGGCAGTACACTGTTCTACTTTTAAATTGCTTTTGGGTTAAAAATGTTATTGTGTAATTTTTTGGGTTTTGTCGTACATAATGGTAGTCAACTGATAAATGTGGCATTGGGGGAAAAAAGCGTTAATTCTTTAAAAGTTTTCCCGTTTTTGCATCAACGGTTTAGAGAAAAGGCGACCCATTCCATTCCACTGAGATGTATTTTCCCGCATTATTTAAAAAGGGCCTTTAATTTTTTTGTTTCATTCTATAAATTTGGGAATTTTTTTAATTAACTGCTTCTGACTCTGTGGGTTTCCCCCCTCTTTTTTTTTCCAAACCCCGTCTACTTGTGATGTAATAATTTATTGTGGATAGGCCCAAGTATCATCCAGGGGGTTTTTCTAGAAAATGTGGGATTTTTTTGGGGGCCACGAAAGTTATTGATTTTAGAAAAACATTCTGCCCCTTGCTTTATCGTTATGTTTGTTTGTGTTGGGACAAATCAGTTGATGTAGTGATCAATGGAAGGCTCATTTCCCGGATTTTTCTAAAAAATTTGTTTAAAAATTTGGGGTTTGGGAAAAAGGCAATGAAACCCGGGAGTTTTTACAAAAGATGGGAAAAAGGGTGTTTGAAAACCTTTGGGGTTAAAAATGGGATTGAAAAAATGGTGTTGAAAAATGGGGATTGAAAAAATGGTTTTGAAACAGTTAAAGCAGGGTTGGGGAAACAGTTTTTTTTCAAACCCAAAAATGTTGGAAACTTTGGGGTCGAAAAAAGGGTGGCGATAAATGGTGTTGGGAAAAATGGTGCGAAAAAATGTTGAAACATGGCGTTGAAAAAAAGGGGGTTGGAAAAACAGGGGGGTGAAGCAGGGGGTTGAAACAGGATATTGAAAATGATAGTGAAAAACGGTGTTGAAACAGGTTGTTGAAACATGGTGTTGAAACATTGTGGTGAAACAGGGCATTGAAGCAGGTTATTGAAACAGGGTGTAGAAACAGGGTGGTGAAACAGGGTGTTGAAACATGGTGTTGAAACAGGATGTTGAAACATGGTGTTGAAACATAGTGTTGAAACTGGGCGGTGAAGCAGGGTGTTGGAACAGGGAGTTGAGACAGGGTGGTGAAACAGGGTGTTGAAACAGGGTGTCGAAACAGGGTAATGAAACACGATGCTGAAACACGGTGTTAAAACACGGTGTTGAAACATGGTGTGAAACAGGGTGTTGAAACATGGTATTGAATATAATGGTGAAACAGGGTATTGAAACATGGTGTTGAAAGACGGTGTTGAAATATAGTGTGAAACAGTGTTGAAACATGCTGTTGATCCACGGTGTTCAAATAGGGTGCTGAAGCAGGGTGTTGAAACAGGACGCTGGCATAGGGTACTTTCTCAATGAATCTGAGGGCCAACTGTTCCTTAATGATGTGGTCGTAGTTCCCCACGAGACCCTTCTTGGTCAGGCTGTTCACCAGCGAGTTTCAACTAATCTCGTGCCTTCTTAAAATTAGTGGGCAGAGTTGGTTGCGCCGGTTTCCAAGTAGTCGCACCCACTACTGGCTGTCTTTGAACTATACATGGTTCAAGTAATCCTTATAAATCTCTTCGTGTTCAGGAGGCAGTAGATCACCTTAATCCCTACTACATCCAGATCCCATAGTTTATGAACTGGCTCACTGTCGACTTTGACTTGGTCTTCACGCAGACCAAGTCGCATCGCTAGCACTGCCTCAGTTGCTGTAGAGTCAGGGCTCTCACTCCCAGTGTCTCCAGAAAATGAGCTGGTATCCTGTCTCCTACAATATACCCCGCTGAAGTCCTGTACAGTCAATACCCTCCTTGATAGTCCTCTTGGACACAAATTCGTCCATGTAGTCCGCCCCCACATCCCTGACGTTATCTGTGGTAATATCTGGCTCTGCTAGCTTCACGCCTAACTCCCTCAAACATTTTGCTGCTGCAGCCAGACCCTTGGTAGCAACGATTTCAGGCAGCTTCTTCACTATCAAGGCTGTGATCTTCGGCGATGTCCCGCTAAATTTAACTGCAACATGAACGCGATAAGACCTGGGTGGGATCGGGCCACCAAACCCTTCCAAAATCATTTTAAACCTTGTTATCCAATCTTAATTTCAACTTGGCTGTTAGTGCCTCTGTTATCAAGAACCTTTGTGCCCCAGCATCAAAAAAACAATTGGGTTGTTTCAGACTTCTTTCCATTCACAACCACTGCCACTATGATGGGTAGGGCCACAGAACCTTGAAACCGTTCAGTTGGACTAATCCCTCATGCTGTACTCATCACATTAGCCACTACTTCGGGCCTGCCATCACGACGGGAAATTTTTGTGCGAACTGCCCCCTTGTAAGCTGCTCATCTTGGCAATTGCGGGTGACTCAGACACCTTGAGAAGTCCTCCCAGGCTCACAAGGGGCTCTTACAACATATTTCCAGTTACAAACTGCTCTTGTAAGAAATTCCTAACTATACACAAGTGAAGGATTAACTCACTTGGGGGTATGGGAGTTCTCTGGCCCCCCACTCTCAGTACCCTTGAAGTGACGGATTTATCTGGTCTTTGTGTGTCCATCTGCTCAAACCCCACAGATCGACTACAACCTATGTTTCCCAGAATATCATTGGCCAACTAATGCTGAGAAAAAAGGATGGTCTGTCTTACTGCAGGTGGGCCTGGGAAGAGGAGAATACCCACGGTAATTCGAGAAACCTTTAGGATTTTGTTGTCTCCAAGCCAAGTGTATGAACGCCTGTTCTCCAGGCTGTTTGTCATAGCATGTCTTCTCAGAATGGTGTCTGTACTCAAAGTAGAGAGCTGGCATCTCTCTGACTCCCGTCATTGGGTTGCCAGCTCTGGAGCTAATATTCGCTTATATTAAAAGGGGTAATCTTACCTATGTTAAGGTCCTAGGACTACATTAATATTATATATGGTTACTTTTCTATTTCTAATATTAGTTACTACTGTGTAACCTACCTAATCCTTTCTTGAAGGGTAAATATATCAGTTAATATGTACAGTCACTACCTCCACCAACTAAGTGTGTGTGACGATGTTTAAGTGCTTGTACTGATTATTTACTGTTTCCCTGTGAAAGTTATTTGATCACCCAATAGATTTCCAGAAGGGTGTTGAAAAACAGCGTTGAAACAGGGTGTTGAAGAGCCTTGGACCCTGGCGATTAATTAAATGTTTTGTTTAGCGTATTTACTACAGTTCTGCTTTAATTAATGGTTAACTGCATTTCACATATCTTGTCTCGTTATACTGGACGACCTGGCAGGTCTTGAGGCTCTGCACGCCCTCACCCGAGACTCCACACCACACTGCGTCTCCACCTGCTGGACCACCACCTGCACCACGCCAACGCCACTTACACCATGTTCAGGTAAGTGGTGGCAACTTAGGTCACTTAGTCACTTCTACAGGTACTGTGTTCCTGGTTGCTGCTGCCACCTCCATTTTTCTTGCATCTTAAGAACATAAGAACTAAGGAACACTGTAGCAGGCCTACTGGCCCATGCGAGTCAGGTCCAAGTCTCCTACGCGCTTAAACCAATGCACCCAACCTAGTCAGGTCAGGTCACATTGACTTAAGGGAGGAACACGGCAACCGACCTGGTAGCACAAGCTATCAGGTCCAACTCACACCCACCCACATCCACTCATGTATTTATCCAACCTATTTTTAAAGCTACACAACGTTCTGGCCTCTATAACTGTACTTGGGAGTTTGTTTCCACTCATCCACAACTCTATTACCAAACCAGTACTTTCCTATATCCTTCCTGAATCTGAATTTTTCCAACTTAAAAACATTGCTGCGAGTCCTGTCTAGGCTAGATATTTTCAGCACACTACATCCCCTTTATTTATTCCTGTCTTCCATTTATACACCTCAATCATATCATCCCTAATTCTACGTCTTTCTAGAGAGTGCAGATTCAGGGCCCTTAGTCTATCCTCATAGGGAAGGTTCTGATACATGGGATCAACTTTGTCATCCTCCTTTGTACATTTTCCAGAGCATTTATGTCCATTTCTGTAATACGGTGACCAAAAACTGTGCAGCATAATCTAAATGGCCTAACCAAGGATGTATAGAGTTGAAGAACAACCTGAGGACTCTTATTATTTATGCTTCTTGATATGAAGCCAAGGATTCTATTAGCTTTATTGCGAACACTTATGCACTGTTGTCTTGGTTTCAGATTACTGCTAACCAGAAACTCCTAAATCTTTTTCGCAATCCGTAATATTAAGATCTACATTATTTAGTTCATATGTGGCATGGTTATTGTCCTGTCCAACATTAGAACTTTGCATTTGTCTATATTAAACTGCATCTGCCACTTCTCCGACCACTGCATCAGTCTATTCAAATCTTCCTGGAGTGCTCTAATGTCCTCGTCAGAATGAATTCGACGGCCTATTTTGGTGTCATTGGCAAACTTGCTGATGTCGCTCTTTATGCCCTCATCTATGTCGTTTATGTAGATTGTGAACAGCAGGGGGCCCAACACTGACCCCTGTGGAACACCGCTTGTGACGCTTCCCCACTTTGATTTCTCCCCATTTATGCAAACTCTCTGCTGCCTATTTGTCAACCATGCCTCTATCCAGGAAAAAATTTTCTCCTCCTATTCCATGTGCCTTAATTTTCCTCAATAGTCTCTGATGTGGGACCCTGTCAAAAGCCTTACTGAAGTCCATATACACCAATATCATATTCATTACCATGATCCACCTCCTCAAATACTTTAGTGAAAAAAGTAATAAATTCGTAAGGCAGGAACGCCCCTTTGTAAAACCATGCTGAGATTCGTTGATTAATTTATGCTTTTCAAGGTGGCTACGAACTGCCTCGGCAATTATTGATTCCATAAATTTTCCCACTATGGAGGTTAGGCTTATTGGTCTATAGTTCGAAGCTAAGGACCTGTCACCTATTTGACATTTGCCATTTTCCACTTATCTGGCACCATGCAGTTTGTAGTGATATGTTGAAAAGATTAGCCAAAGGTTTGCTAAGCTCCTCTTTACATTCCTTTAGAACCCTTGCATACAGTTCGTCAGGGCCTGGGGATTTGTTAGGTTTTAATTTATCTATTTGCCTAAGGACCATGTCACTTGTGACCCTAATCGTGCGCAGTTTATGTCGTCCTGTTCTACATAATTTATCATTTCTGGAATATCGCTGTATCCTCCTCTGTGTAAAAAACTGAGAGGAAGTATGTGTTAAAAATTCTACACATTTCCTTATCACTGTCAGTGAGCTGACCCGAGAACTTTTGAGTGGGCCTATCTTGTCCCTGATCTTACTTCTGTATACCTGAAAGAATCCTTTTGGGTTAGTCTTCGATTCTCTTGGAACTTTAACCTCATAATCTTTTTTGCTTTTCTAATTCCCTGTTTTATTTTCTCTCTTTAACTGAATATATCGATTTCTTAATTGCCCCTCTCCTCTTTTGAATTTGCCTATATATGCCTCTCTTTTGACCAATCAGATAATTTAATCTATTTTTCATCCATTTAGGATCATTTTTGTTTGATCTGATTTCCTATTTGGAACATAATTTGACTGAGCAGCTAGAACTAGCCCTGGAAAGCGTCATATCGGCAACCATCACCACCTACCTGACCCTTGGTCAAGTCATTCCTGTTCAGCCCACCTAAGTAATTTTTCAGTCCTATGAAATCAAGCCAAGCGAAAGTCAGGGACAGAGACTTGATTGCCATTATTAGGGGAATTCCATGATATATTAAAACTGAGTGATTTGTGATCACTTTCCCCAAGCTCATCATTAACCTCAAGATTATTAATTAGTGTTTCCTACTGGCAAGAACCAAATCAAGGAGGTTATTTCCCCTAGTTGGCTCTGTCACAAACTGTTTTAAAAAACAATCCTGGATCGTATCAAGAAAGTCACCTGACTTTAAATTCCTGTCAAATTGCTCCAGTCAATCTGTCTATAGTTGAAATCTCCCATTAGCACAACATTTTCGTATGTAGATGCCTTACGAATTTCGTCCCATAGAAGTTTACTGCACTTCCTATCAAAATTTGGGCCCTGTAAATCACACCCAAAATTAGTTTTTTCTGGGCCCCTCGAGAAGCTAACCAAACAGATTCAGTGGACGCTTCTAATTTTATATCTTGTCTAACACAAAATATAAATTGTCTCTGACATACATCGCTACTCCACCACCCTTCCTGTTGACCCTTTTCCGTGTGGAATAATTTATAGCCTTGTATGTGACATTCAGAGGGCATCTCTATCTTTCAGATTGAGCCAGGTCTCTGTTATAGCAATAATATCTATGTTTCCTGCATTTTCAATTAATCTTAGCTCATCTATCTTATTTCTTACACTCCTGCTTTTAGTTTTAGTAAACCTTAAGGGAGCTAGTCCCTTGCTGCCCTTGCTGTCCCCCTTTGTTTGCTGACTGATCTATTGTCTTTATTTATAACTTCATGCTGAATGCCTTTTATACATTTACTGTTTTCCAACCCTAGTTTTTGCAACCTGCTTGTTTCCAACACACACCCATGCCTCTATCTTCTGTCAGTTTAAAATCATAGGCATTTCACCAATGGCCTTCTCAATTGAGTTTGTAAATGCTACCACCCCAGTCCCAGAGAGATGTACCCATCCCTTGCATACATATCATGTTTGCCATAAAAGTTATTCCCGTTTTTCAATGAATGGGATTGCAAGTTCCTTGCAGTATCTGTCTAGCCAGCAATTTACACAATTGCCCTAGAACAACCATTCATTCCTGCTCCCCTTCTAGGCAAGATGCTACATATGATTGGGACCCCTCCCTTAGACTTAATGAAATCTATAGCTGACTTGTACTTATCTAGCACTCTTCTCTCCTACCCTTCCCAATATCATTTTCCACCAGCACTGAGACAGATAATGGCTTGTCCCATTGCCTGACATGATATTATCCAGCCTGTTAACTATGTCCCCAACACCCGCTCCAGGGGAAACACACTCTATCTCTCATCTTCTTGTTCCTAATTACCAAAAGCACGGTCAATATATCTTACCTGAGAGTCACCACCACAAGAATGCGCTTTACCCCTGTTAGCAGGGGCAGTAGTACCCTTACCTTCACTGGGGCCCCTGAAGTACATTCATCCCGAAACAGAGAAGCGATTTCCTACCTTCAGATCTTCACTCTTAACTTTCCTTATTCTGATTCTCCTCCATTACTGGTTACCCCTCGCCACTTGTAGCAGGTGCTGGACTGCACCTCACTGCTGGTAGCCCTTGCTACCTCCCCACCTACAGCCTCCTCACAGCGAGAGACAGACTGCACCTCACTGCTAGAAGCCTCATTCCCAAACTCCAGCCACCTCACACTCTCTCCCAGACCCATTGAGGTGGACCTTCAGCTTCCTAATCTCCTCCTGGAGAAGCAAGACCTCCTCCTTCAACTCTCCAACCTCAATTTTTAAAACAACTGCAGAAGCAAGCCATGCTTTGTAACGACTTTGATGTCGTAACTTAAAAAAATGTTCCTGGCTGCTAAAGGCTGCTAACACTGCTGTCTAGGGGTTATAAAATTACACTGAAAACACGGCAACTTTTAGGCCAGCATTTACTCATATATTAAACAATATTAATTATTATTAGGAAGGAAGGAAAAAAACTCACCATGTAAAAATGTATATAATATTGTTAATAACTTATATACATCTTATAACTACTACAAAAAACCACCAGACTCCATTCACATTAGCTCACTAGTACACTGCTACTGATGAGTTAAAATAAATCATCAGGGAGGCACCATGACATACACAACCCCGTCTTCACTTCTGTCTGGTAACTAATTACCAGCAGGCAAAACACCATACAGTACTCTCGCATAAACAGGCCTCTGCATACTAGGGCCTTACAAATAAACATGAGAGTACTTAAACACAAACACCTATGGAAATACACAAAAAAAAATTTTACCAAAATTACCTACTCAAACTACCGCCCAAACATGACTTACCTCCGTCACCACCAGTCTGGTACTGTACTAAACACACCTCTTGTGGAAAAAAATTTTCCCCAATTATGCTGTGTAAATAAACCTGATTTAAAAGTGTATTTTTAAAAGAAGAGAATGGAGCCGACAGGGAGGCTCTGCGCGTGTGCAGGGGGACTCGCCATTTTTTGTTTGAATTGAGAAAACAAAACATTAGTGAATGGGAAGAATTTTTCGTGCTCTAGAGGCTAAAATTGGGTGATACCTCTCAAATAGGAGGGGAAATTGTTGGATGTGTATTCCTGCATAACTCGAGATATCAGGCGACTGGAGAAGACAGCCCAGGAACCTCAGATAAGTCTGTGATGTTTTAACTCTGGCCAGTGTTATTTTCATGTA